AAAAAAAAAAAAAAAAAATAATTAGATAAAATAATAAAATGTTCGCTTTATAAAAAAATCTGAAAAAATTACAATTTTTTTAAGCGATCAACAGCATACGTTTAAAATATTTTTTGCGAATAATATATTCAGATTTCACTGTAATATGCTGAGAAACTTATTAAGTGTTTCGACATATTACGCGATGATTAACCATAATAAAGTTTTCCAGATGTTACCTCAATATTACTATTATTATCTCAATATTACTGCACAAGAAGAAAATTTCCAAGCTTATCTTTATTGCCTCTATAATTATATACACTCATAAAAAAAGATTTTAATTAATATTTAAATCAGTAAAGTAGAGAAAGAGAGGGGGCTATCCGGTGAGCTCATTATCGTCAAGTAAACTCATTCGTGTGCAGTTCAATTTGCATTCAATTTTTCCACATGCAAAACGCCGTTCTGCGTGTACTTGAAACTGTAAAAGAATATTAATTACGGTAATCTGGGGAAATTAATCAAACGTGTCGGCGGACGCGTTAATAAGGAAACAAAGGTAGATTCTTCTTGGTGGCAGCTAGTTTATTCCCTTTGTTTTGCATAGCGAGCTTCTTATTAACATGTAGCTCGGCAGCCGAGCAGAGAGAAGGGGTCATCGCTTATGCTAACGATGCTGCTGCTACTTCCTCCGAAGTAGGGACCGCGTAATGAGTTTACTTAAACGAGCTGAAGATTAAGATCTTAACTACGTTTTGTGTTAAATTTATCGCTAATACCCCTATTAAAATACCTACACAGACGGTCCGTGTGCATCTAGCCCGAATGTTTTGCAAAACCCGTCTTGACGACAGTATCGGAGTAACCTTAAACCAAGCCGATTTAAATAAGGAATTATCAAAGGTGAGTAAGAAGGTATTTGAAAATTAATGACGGCGTTGAACGAAAAAATCTGAAAAACATAATTTATGACAGCTTAAAGAATTTATTGTGACGTAAGAATTTACTTTCATCTCGCTGTATCTCGCGTTTCTGTATAAGATTTATAAGGTAATTCGAATTTTACCTTCTGCCAAACTTAATTACAATAAAGTTGAAAACCGGATATTTATATTTCACATTTTTCTGTTTTATAAATTTGCTAAGTATTGTTATCAAAGTCTTGAATCAGTTGCATTAAATCTTTACATCCTGTAAAAATCATGCGCTGCATTCGTAAGTAATTAATTTATTAATTCTCTAAAACAATTGGATTTAATTTGCTACATTTTGTGTAATGCAGAGAATTAATTTTACAAATTAAGCTTCACATAGATGATTAATGATGCTACCGAGCAACGGCGAGTAATACCTGGTTCTCTACGGTACACTCTATGCTCTCCGTGTCCAGGACGCATAAATCCGGATTGCACCGAGTAACGTCGAAT